AGTATAATATACTAATTTGAAATAATTTTGAATAATTTTAATACATATTAAATGATCCAAAAACAGTTGCACATATCTTAATCTTCCCGTAGCATCCTCATATAAAAGTCATTTACATAAACAATATATCTTTTGAAAATGATTTCGATAAAAGCTCCATTTAAATTCAACATGAAATATATCAACGAATACATTTGGAAGTAACATCGAATATAGGTTTTATTTAAAAGCAAGATAGCACATTTGCAAGGACGGAGCCGATCAGTTTCGATCTCGAACATGAGCGAATAAACTTCTCGGCCTGTCCGAGTGTCTCGAATTCGCTTTCGCGAGACTCACGGACAAGTTCGCCGAGTTATCGGCGCAAGTTCCAGGCAATTCTTGCCCGATCCGTTGCACAGTGTGCGGGCGTCCAAATTCCCTAGTGGCATTATCTCGATCAGAGCGACTCGATGACGCACACCGGCTGCATGGAATGTCAGAATTCCACGATTCGATTCGTCTCGTATGCGCAATCATGGATGTTGGGGCATCGAACGTTCGAAGCGGAGTCTCGAAATAAGGTCAACGTCACATCGACGTAGTCGCGTCGACGACAACGGGCCGGGACATTTAGTACATCTAACGATTAGGGTTGATGTTGGTTGCGAAACCGTTACCAAAAACTCGAGCACGTCGCACGGAATTGACGTGCTTCTCCCTGAAAATGTTTCATTAAAAATTTTTTTAAATAATTGACGCGACTTCTCGGTCCGTAAGTTCGTGCGGTTTTAATTTCGATTTGAATTTCTCGCATGATAATTGGCTAACATTCGTGTCCCATACGTCATTCGATAGCTTTGGTTTTCTCTTGTTGCACGATAGTTTATTTATTCGTTTTTCGTACGAGTAATAAAGTGATTATCTTTTTGAGAACTATGGAGTGCGATGATTTTAATTAATTTAAAAATTAATATTATAATGTTATTAGAAACTATGATGTTTAAGTTTGCGTTGTAATCATTGTTTTTATTTTATTATTATTTTATTATTACTTTTTATTATTATTATGAATTTTTGTAGAGAAATTAAAAGGGCATTTTTAACCCGTTTATGCTGAATAAATAAGTCAGTGACTTGTAATTGCTGTAATAACTACTAATACTGTAATGTGACTTGTAATACTGTAATGACTATTAATGTATATTGTTTTATAACAATGACAATAATGTATATGTTAGAACTTTGTATAATTTCTATAATAAAATGTACATATATGTACTAAACTTATAACTTTTTATTATAATATTAGATTGATCGGAATGTTCGTTTGAAATCTTCTGTATGAATTCGATGAAAAGAAATCTATGAAATATGAAACGGTCCGTTTGTAAAAAAAAGTTCATTAAAAAATGTCTCGTATTAAGAGTAATTGTAAAACAAAGAATCAGACCCAACTGATCCATTTAGTTTCAAGAATGAATTTTTTAAAGATTCTTTGATGAAAGTAGGAATTAAAAACGTTTTCTAACAAAAGTCTATGCCCAATCCGAATTGTGGAAAGATCTGTTGTACAGTGATATCCAGCGAGTCGACGCTGTATACGAACATTTTATCAGCGAGTGGAACGAATGATAGATTGCGAGATCGAATGGAAAAATCTATGTTAGATTTCCGACGAAATCGAGCTACGCCCTTCCTCAGTTTGCCTAGATAAAATACGAAAAATGTGATCGTTGGCCATTTATTTTTAGTATCCTGAATTTTTCGCAGCTTTAAAATTCGCGTAGTATAAGATTAAGAAAATCACACTTATCACGTTTTGCAACGTGCTAATTTCAGATCTAAGTATTGAAAAACATTTGATATTTCATTATGATTAGGAAACTTTATAGATTTTTTCTTAAATATCTGTCTACTACTATATATATATATATACTATATTATATACTATATTATTATCTATTAGAAAAAATCTATAAAGTTTCCTAATCATAAAATTTGCGAGTATACGTCGTTTCTCACTTCGTCGAGTTCAATTTACCCAACAAAAGTTGTTGAATTAAATCTGAATTTTTTGGCTATTTTTTGGCTATCGTTGATTTATAGACTGCGGATTTGTATGAAATATAAAAGTTGCCTGCATTAACTGCAAGATACAGAAACAGCCTAGACATTTCTTTCATTCTATAACTATTTGATTCGGTCAAAAATAATGTGATAGACTATTTTTAAATTCTTTAAATGTTTCCACTGTTTCGTACTTGATCAACTCATTTTTGCCAGAAATGTATAAAATCCGCAGTCTATTGATTAAACACGACTGAAATATGAATAAACTAAAAATGATCCGTCTTATTTTTCCCTCTGAATTTAAACAAATGCTGCTTACAGCAAAAACACAGTAACTGTCGACAGTAAAAGAATATACAGAGAACAGCTGGTCGAGTGTTGGTTCGAAAAACAAATGTTCTAGACACTTGCGCGTAGGTCTAGAAATTTGAATTCAAGAATACCTCGTCTTTACGATTAACCCTGGCGATGATGGTCAAGAGAAACATTGAAGCATCGAAGAAAACAGTGTGGCACATCCACGCAACGCATACAGAACGTTTATGAATTTATAACGACGGAGTTGAATGACAATTGGTTCGACGGAGTCCCTGTTTATTCTTCGTTCGGATCGCGCGAGCCTCGACCGAAACGCGAACAAACAAGCCGCATTGTGCAAACAAAAAATCCTCGTAAACTGCGCGCGCGTTGCGCGAACTAATCGATCCTTCATCGCTTCGAGACCGCAGAAAATTTCTATTACTTCTATCACCGCTACACCTTTGCTCATCGATTAGCAAAAAGTCGGCACCGTGCAAACAGAAAATCTCGCACCGAAGGGTTTAGACCGCGCGCGAGTTTACGAGCTAATGGATCTTTCGACACTTAGCCGGACACCGCGGCTAAATTCTATTTTTCGCCTTGTTGCTGATCATCGAGCAATCGATTAACAAAGACGCGAACGAACAAGCGATTCTGTTTAACTAGAAAACCCTGTCCGAAGGGTTTAAACCTCGCGCAAGTTCGCGAGCTAATCGCTCCTGTATCGCTTAGCTGCCGCAGAACCACTTTGTCGGCCGTTGCTGTATCTCGATTGACAAAAAACCCGGAGAAACAAGCGACGCAGCGGAACCAGAAACTTCCGTGCCGAAAGGTACGAACCGCGCGCGAGTTCGCGAGCAAATCGGTACTTCGTCGCTTGCAAACCGCGGGGACTTTTATTTTTTTCGTGCGTTGCTGTACCTCGAATCGTCGATTCAGGATAAGGGAACGAAACGGAGGCCTGCCTATCTACGGAAAAATAAGAGAAAAACTGTACAAGCCGCGTCAATCTTGAACATCGATCAAACCTGAATCGAGGCATGCGGATGTGCGAGCCCAACAAAACGAAGAGGGTCAATCGTTCCAGTAGCAGTGGCGAGAGAGAGCGCGCGCTCACTCGCACGCTCGCTCGTGATCGCAGCGGCTCGCTCGCAGTTTCGCCCGATCTTGGGCTCGCAGTTACTCGCGTCTCTGTCGCGGTCAACACGGCTAATTAACAAAATGGAAATGATCACGTGTACTCACTGTAGTCGGACGTGTGGTCGTTGGATCCGTTGACCGTGCCGTCCGGCAAGATCTGAAGATGCCGATTCTTGATATACATCTGGATTTTTCGAGACGCGCCGGTAATGTGCGACAAATTGGCCGATCGTTCAGCTCTGACGCCGGTGTCACCCATTAAATCAACCGGCGCGGCACTCACTGCACTAATAACCGTGCCGATCGCCAGGACACTCAATCCGGTGCTGCTCGTTTTCGCACTGCCGTTGAACACACTCGATTTACGAAGACCGCACTGGCCGAACGTGACGAGGAACAGGAGAAAGGCCAACTGAAAGCACGAGGACCGGATGTTCGTGCACTCGCGTCTCTTCTTCTTCTTCTTCTTCCTCCTCGTTCTGGCCCGGGAACACCTCGCGGGCTCTTGCTCGTCCCCGAGGTCTTGGCGATCGGTCTGCTCGACCTTGGGTACGCGCGACACGCGTCTCCAGGAATTCGTACCGTCCGCTTCTTCTTCTTCTTCTTCTTCCTCCTCCCGCGCGTTCCTCTCTTCGGGAGCCAAGGACGGAAGCGTGCCGGTCGAGACGAGCTTTTCATAGGTCCGGCCCGTCCAAGCCCGAGGCTCGTTCGACTGACTAGAGAACAGCGATTCCCCTATTCGGGCAGAATCCGCGGCCCGAACCTGCGGCCAGTTCTCGGCCGAGAAGTCGCGTTTCGAGCAGCAGTGGCACCCTCGTTCCCCGTCCCGCGAATCCCCGACATCGTTGTCGCGTGTCCTCGACGGACCCCTTGGATATCTCCGGCTCGACCTCGTGTCCTTCACCGGGGACACGTTCCTGTGCCCCTGGAGCTCGTCGACGGCGACGGCGACGGCGATGGTGGTGGTGGTGGTGGTGGCGATGTCGCGCAACCGGCGCTCCAACTGTTCCGGACAGGAAACATTCCGCCGAAGGTCTTTGGGATCGCAAGCTTCCGGCTCGTTGGCCTTCTTAGGAGGCTCGCCGAGCCTGCTGCGGGACTGCACGGTCTCTCGGGACCCTCTGAATCCGGAGGGGACTCGTCGGGGGATGAAGCCGGAGCAACGATGAAGCCGGCAGTTCACGGGTCCATCCTCGGTCGGATTGATCGGCGGTAGTCGGCGTACGATGGACGGTCGAACGGGTCTATTTTCGCGGCGCAGGGAAGACTCGGCGGAAGCTAAGGTTACGATCGGTATCGGGCAGACGGCACGGTAATCACAGTGCAGCACCCTTGGCCCGCCCGTGTCGATCTCAGCGGGCATGACGGTCTCATCCACACTCCTTTCCGAGCCCTCCTTCCGATCTACACGGCACCGTTCTCTTCTTGTTGGTTCCTTAATATCTCGTACACTTTCCTCGGCCGACGTTCGCGTTGCTCGTTCCTCGGCTAGCTCGTTCCACTTCCTCCTCTTCCTCTTCTTTTTCCTCGTCCTTGTTTTCGTCGTCGCCGTGGTCGCGCGTCCCTTCCGATGATTTCGATCTTGTCTCGCTGGTCGCGTCCACGCGTTCGCCGATGAATCAAAACCACGGCACGCGATTCTTCGATTGGTCGTGCAGGCCGTCGCTGGTAAGGAGGAGACTATGCTCTACAATGGGAGTCCACCTCATCCTCGGTTAGTTTCGTGCCGCGTCGAGACACTGTTCTTGGACGGTTCCCGGTAGGCGACGATGATGCGGCAGCTGGTCCGCTGTTACCGTCCATGTACAGCGTTTTCGGTACTCTCGCATTATTGCACTGACCGCCTCGGCAGCCCCTCCGATCGCGACTAACCCGATCGTCCCCGTCCGATTAACCGACGACAACCGCTCGCACGGTGTCCCGTGGTCAACGCGAATCGGATCGCGCCAGTCAGAACGGCTTGTTTGCGAAAATAGGAAACCACGGAATTGGTTTACGAGGTAGCATCGAGGCGACGTTCGATGGATCCTGAATGCAAACGAGAGACCGGATCGCCGCCGTCGACTTCCTGTTGCCCGGTGGTATCTCGCCGAGGGTACTCGTCGCAACCGCGAACGATCCTGGACGAGGATCGGCCGCGACAATTCGGTATCCGCTAGAACGACGGCATTAGCGACATAGGAGGCGAGAGGATCGTTGCTCGCTCGCTTGCTCGTCTTTAATCGGTTTTGTTCAAGCACGCAGGTTGATGCTACCGATTACCTTCGTCGGCCTCGCTCTGTCCCTCTCTCTTAGTCCCTCTATCAATCGCAAGAACTTCTACCGACACGTTACTCGTACCGCCTTAACGGGTTTCGCTCTCTCTTTCTTTTTCCCTCTCTTCCCAGCATCACCGCCACCACCTCCTCCTCCTCCTCCTCCTCCTCCTATCCTCTTGTCTTTGTCTATATCACTGTTCCTCTTTCACTGACCGCCCTCCCCTCCCTCCCGCCAGCCGCGTGCCGTGGGAGCCGCGTATCCTTCCGGAGTCGCGGAGGGTCGTAATCACGCGCGGAGTTTCTTACGCGAAAATATTCGCGGGTCGAATCACTGCCACCACTTCTCACCACTGACCGCGGACCACGTAGACGACATTCGCGAAAACCCGCGCGCCGCTGGCTTTCCGGCCGCCAGCGAATCCTCCTCTTCTTCTTCTTTTTCTTCTTCTTCTTCTTCTTCCTCTTCTTTCTCGCGCGAAACACAGAGAACGACCTCCTCCAATTTGTTGGCCGAGAGAGGAGAACACGTTCGTCACCGCGATGGAAAACACCTTGCGACGCTCGTGTGGTACGATGCTCCGCTGACAACCAACCACCGCGGGAGAGAGAGGAAGAGAAGAAGAGAGCCGTACGGGGAGAGAGGACGAGGAGAGAGACCGGAGAAGACTATGTTCCACTCCGAGCAGCTCCTCGCCGTGTGACACTCGATCGGTTCGAAGCGGTGTCGACCGGGTGAACCGCCGCCGCTGCCGCCGCGCCGCGCCGGTTGATCCCAACGATCCCGCACCCTCGGACGATTTCGCGAGACGATCGATCGGCGCCGACACCGATCAACCGCGCGTGGGGAAGAAAAATAGGGCAACAACAGCAACAAGAACAACAAGACCAACAACAACCAATAACAACAACAACGACGACGACGAAGAAGACGACGACGACGTGAACACTTGCGTGAAGAAAATTTGGCAAAACGATCACCGGTCGGTTGCGATCGATCTTGACCCGAGCTTCTTTATTTCGATCGGATTCCTCGGAACCAACGATCCAGTGCCGCGATCGCGATGTCTGTCGGTGTTGTTACGAGGTCGGGGGTAGTCCGGCAACTCCGGGGTTATCTGGTAGGTCGGATGGTGCCGGTGCGGCGTCCGAGAAACTACTGAACGAGTGCCGCGGTTCTCTTCTCCGGCTCGGTTCGGGCACGCTCTTCGGTTCGCTCTCGTAGAGAGATCGAACAGCAGACCGACACACCAGCACACGGGCCGGCAGCAGCCGAGAGTGAAACCAATACCAGCGCGCGGGGATCGACTCGACTCGCTACTCACACGGGCCCGCAGCATCCATCCCATCCCGCCTCGTAGTTGTAGTAGTAGCCGTCGTCCCGTTTCGTCCCGTTCCGCTTCATACCGTGTCGTCCCGGTTCCGTCCCATCCCAGAGCGACGCAGCACGCGACAGATCTGGATGCTCGCTCGCTCTCGTCCACTACCGCGCCACCACGACCACCACGCGCCTCTTCTTTTCCCTCTCTTCTTTCGCGCTGCTCTCCCCACCCTCCTTTCTACCTTCACCTCTCTCTCTCTCTCTCTCTCTCTCTCTCTCTCTCTCTCTCTCTCTCTCTCCCTCTCCTTCTCTCTCTTTCTCTCTCCTTCTCCTCCTCTCTCTCGCGCTCTCCCTCTTCCTCTCTCTCTTTCTCCTTCCGGCCTCTCGCCCTCTTCTCTTCGTCGCGCGCGCTCTTTCCGCGTGTCTCTCGTTGCCTCTTCTTCTCTACCCTATTTCCTCTTCTCCTTCCCGCCGACTATGCTACTTCTCGCTACCACCGTCTACCTTGCCTTCCGTCTCTCTCCCCCTCGGTAGCACAGTCTCTCCGTCCTCCCGCCGGATCCTATGTCTCTCTCGCTCCTTCTCCCTCTCTTTCTCCGTTCTCTCGTTACACCTCCTCTGCCTCACCTTTCTTCTTCTTCTTCTTCTTCTTCGCCTCTTCGTTTTCCTCTTTCCCGGTCAGTCCTGCCACTACTCCTCGGTGGCTCGTCAACGTGCTCCGTTCCCCCTGCACTGCTCGTTCACTCGATCTTTTCGCCCCTTATTAACACCGATCCGGCGTCTCTCTTTCTCTCTTCGAGTCTCCTTCTCTCTTACCCTATTTCTCTCTTTCTATATCTTCTTCCTCTATCCCCTTCTCTATCTCTTTCCTTCTCCACCTCCGTCCCTTTCCGTAGATCTCTCCGGCACGCCCCTACTCCGTGCACCAGTTCTCCAACCCCTCCTGTTTTTCGTCTATTTCCTCGAGGCGCGCTATTATTTTTCCCTGCCGCGCCTCTCGCGGCCGCTAGGAAGCCGCTGATCCCCGCTCGATAAAAGGAGCCCGCGATCTAGAGAAAGAGGAAGCGCGGTTAACAAGGCCACGAAGGACGCACGCGAACACCTGCAAACCCGCGAACAGATATCGTTCAGAAATCGCGACTTCCACGCGCGCCCGTGTCGCGATTTCTTCTACACTGTCTTCGGCGACGCCTCCACGCTCTTCGTCTTATTCTTCTTCGACTTCTTCTTCGACTTCTTCCCTGTACTCCTCTTTTGCCACACGGTTCGATCGAGAACTATACCGTTTGCTCGCCTTTTCTCGCGAATTTATCTTACGTTCTCGTATCTTATTCCTTCACAACGTTCCCAGTCTTATTACTTCGATGTTCTTCTTTTTGATTATTTTCTCGCGCGTATTTTTTCTTACGCGTCTTCGCCTTTTCTTCGTACGTTTCTCCTCTCACCTTTTCTTACGATTATTCTTGCGAAGTTTTCTTATATTCTTGCTCTTATTTTCTCGACGTTTTTGTTCTGATCTTTTCGAGGATTTCTGTTCCTATTTTGTCGAAGTTCTTGTTCTTATATTTTCCTACATTCTTCTTCCCTTTTTATTACTTCCTTCTTTGTATTTTTTCTTACGTTCTTCTTCCTTTTTCGTACGTTTTTCTACGTTTCTCTTATTTCTTTTTCAACTTCACAGTCTTCGTCTTCGTCTTTCCAGGCAGCTTCGGTTCCTTTTCTTCCAGCTACCCTTGCCGGCTCTGTTTCGCTAACGGGACAGGCTCGTGGCGTCTGTTCACGCCAACCAGCAACGCAAATCCAGGAGGCCGCGATCGGCCGCGTCGCGCTTGAGTTCTCGTTTTCTTCGGCTCCTTCGTTTCCTTTTCATTCTTCCTTAAACACGAGCGAAAGCTCTATCGAGGTCAGCCGAGCGTACCTGTAAACAGTAACAAGGTCGTCCCTTAAATCTCGGCCGTGGAATGTTTCCGCGTTCGGCGCCTCCCGCGCTATTTCACGATAGAATCGGAGATGCTAAACATCGGAGAATACAGAATGCTGTTCGACGCTTCGCCGGCTTTACGACTCTATTATGGCCGTTTCGGAGTTCTCTCTTTGTAAACAGCGAGAGAATCGAATGGTACAGCGGAACCTCGGTTACACTGGAACAATTGGAGGGATTCGAGCGTAATAGAACAATTAATTAATTGATTAATATTAGGTCGTTCGGAAAGTTGTTTCGTTTCTCAAAAACATATTTCGTTTTGTAAGCTCGTTAAAGAAGCACGTGATTCAGCATTTTACGAATAAACGACGAGGCTTCTACGAGATAAGGTTTGGAAAATACCAGAAAAATGTCGGAAAGTTTTTTTTTATTTGAAACGTTAAAAAATTGTCTTTCATTTTCTCGTGCAAGAACGAAACAACTCTCTAAACGACCCGATAAAAATAATACAGATATCGAAAGTTTGAATAACTGAGAGTCTGCTGTATTTATATCACGAAATTTATTAAGTGTTAGAAATGATTGCGTTCGAAAATATTTTAATAACACGAAATTAGAGAAGTTAATGATAAACTTTGGAATTCTCACGATAATGGTCTCTTACTTGAACGCTATGAACTCCGCATAACTGATGGCAAATTGTTGCGTCACATCGATATCAACATTGTTATCATTACATCCTAGAGATGTTTACTGGAAACATATTTAGATAACATGTGTTTTATCACGATCCAGCCCTATCCGTAGCACGATCAGAACAGAATTTTAGCCACGAATATTTCGAAAAGTGAAATCTACGATGCGCACGTGTGAATTCGTTATTATTATGCTGTTATATATGTGTGAATGTATCACCTAGGTAAAATTTTTTGAAATAATTTTATAATGCGGTTCATATTACACGTATTGTACAAAATGTGTTACATATTAACATCAGAACCATCGAGCCCTAAGCACAACTGTTATTAAACTGAATTCAATTAATATACGCTTATCCCTTAATTTACGCGTCACTTTTTTACGCGTATTTATCAAATTTATAGTAGCTTTTATTTCCAATATTTTTACTTTTGTACTTACAGACTCTATTTACGCGATTTTCAATTCGCGCAAAACAAATCCCACGTGGAACGAATACATTGCGTAAATTGTAGAACAGATGTATAATATGCAACTATATTCTTGAATAACGATGTTTAGAATGGATTTATACGAATTACAATTTTTATAGAAACATTTATACAAACTACAATTTTTATTATAATACATACGTCAGAGAAGACGTTTATCAAGAAATTTCTCATAGAAATATATTTATAATAATCGGAAATTTTAGAAGAAGAAAATCGGTCGTTTTGACCGTTCTGATCGTTTCAGTGTTAAGAAATCAGTGTCACGAGACATGACCAACATTTCAGACGTTGAACTATTCTCATCGTTCAAATAGTATGGTATACTATTGACCCTGCATCGCGACCTATCCTCATCGGAAACAGGAACTCCCAGCCTACAAACTTTAGACAGGAAAGTGACATTCCACGTGCATTACTCCTCCGACTGTCGACGATTTTAAATCTGGCGTTCTTCGCGCATATCATGGAAATAATACTTGCAACAATCAAGTTCAATTAATGTCAATCTCAATAAACTCCTCTATGCAGGTTTGTTATTTGGTTAGATAGTTTATACATTACTTTTTAGCGTTTTACGCATCTATACTCTTTTATATGTTGCATCTTATGTATTTTATTATTTACTCTCCTTTCTAATTTTCTTTAATTGTTTAATTTCATTTTGCTTCTTATGTTATATCCTTTTAAATCTATTTCTTAGGACGCATCTGCATAATAAGACTAGCTCGCAAAAAATCAGAGGGTTAAAATTGCAAAGAAATTAAAATTGCTGACTTGTACCCTTCGTTTTCCATATTTGCCTATATTTCATAACAAATTGTAAATAATTTGTTGGCTATTATATTATATTACACCACAGCGCACACTATACAATTGAATATTTGCTCATGCGTGTGAAGACTTTGTAATAACTGAAGAAGAGAGACTGTGTAAGTGTGTTATGATTTTGATGCAGCAGTTGATATCAACATTTTCATCCTTTAAACTAATTTATTAAAACGAACATTTTGATTCATATAGATTGATGGAAAACTGATACAAAGAACCCGGGATCGAGGTCTTAATAACTTGGATAGTCTTTAATACACAACAAAACCACTGTAACTGAATAATCTCAGATGAATAGGTCGTTATAAATACAATGGTTTATGTATAGTCATGTTCTAAAATCAAAGTGTTACAACCGCCATCGGTCTCCTCTATACAGAATGTCTCATAATTTATGTTAACACCCGGAAGGGCAGAAAAGGACCTTGACGAAAAGGTCAACATTCTGAGATCATTTGAAGTAACTTTTTCCTTAGCGAAGATGCAATCGGCGGCTTTGTTTACGAGTTATCGACGGAAAACAGTAACCAATGAGTGGCGAGCTCGGCTGGCGCGAGGTGGCCGAGCCAACGAGCGGTCGAAGCCCAGTTCCGCTAATTAGCTTCGGCCGCCTCGCGCCAGTTAATCTCGCCTCTCATTGGTCACTGTTTTTCTTTAATAGCTCGTAAACAAAGCCGTGGATTGCATTTTCGCTAAGGAAGAAGTTACTTCAAATGACCTGAGGAATCACCCCTTTCCGGCTGTTAACATAATTATGGCACATCTCGTATACAAAAGTTTTACAAACGTTTCATTTTTCAGCATTTCCAGATTCTTCGTGTTGCAATTATTGAAGTAAAGATGCTTTTAGTGAGCAATTACTTGGTGTATCTATTTGATCGGATGTGTTTTCCAGGTTATTATTTATAATAACATAATTGTCCCACTCTGTATAGTGTCTGGAGTAATTTTTGCGACACATTTTACGTACACACTTTTCAAAGAAGTCGCTATGGCTAATTGATTCATAAGAGAACTGTTTTGATCCCACCATATTTGAAAAAATCAGCAAAAATGCACGGTATACTTTTGAGTCCATAAATTCTGTATCGCAAAGTACCTTTACGTCACTAAGTCTAAACACTGGAAGTTCCGCCGCGCGACAAGCTACTATACGCTCAGTATCGCGGCAACAATAACGCAAGAATGTGGATCTTCGTGGCGCCTCCTAATCTCTAAGCCCGAATTCTGGTTCCATCCACGGTCTATCAGCATGCACCGCTCCATTTCGTCATTTTTCCTGTCGCCAGCCAAGCTCGTATTCCACCGTATTTACGAGGCGTTCGGTTAAGTGCGCTTTAAGTGACCCCGGCCGGTTGAAGTCGGTTCGAGTGAGTCAGGTGATCGGCGATGAGGAGAAGCAACGCGGCGCGCCGCAGCCGACAATGGACAACGAGATGCTCGCGAGGAAAACCATTTCCACCTTTCGTCTCGATTTCGAGAAATCCTGCGCGACCGAGCATCCACTATCTACTATCAGCGACCGCCGAAGTCGTACGAGATGTTCGACAACGGTAGAAATTTGACGCTTCCAGAAAACGTCGAGCACCCGGCCGTGGATGCCGCGGCGCGATCCTCGATGAAGGGTATCTTCCCTTTATCTTCGTACACGGCCGGGAAGCCGCTTGTACGCTGTCCTACCAGATGAGATAGTTTTCCACGAAATGGTCGCTATTAACGCGGTTCAAAACGCATACCCGATGCGTGATCCCTTTTCTTCTTTACTTATTTACGAGCCGAACAGAGGTTCGGCACTTTTGAATCTTTTGTTCGATTCGCGGTGACTTATTGTTAAAGGAAGAGTGAATTTTTTGCGGAATTCGGGGATCTAGATTGCAATAGACTGTCGTAGATTACTTGCTAATGTGTAGACAAAAATCTGTATAATTTTCTTTTCCGTTCGCGGATAACCAATAGACGATTTTTATAGATTTTCCGACCTCAGTTTTTTTCGGTGATTTCAAAGAGGAACATCGAATTCTTTTAACTTGCAGAATCGTGTATGCTCTAAGCATAAATGAATGCGTTTCACATGCAACGATTCTATCGTATAACATTATGATTCATACGGCAATACAGTAAACTTTTATTTTACATAAAAATCCGTAGTCAAACAATAATGCTTATATGGACAGACAGAAGCCAATCGGTTTAAGTCCATTAACCTTAAAATTGAGATAAATAAGAATTTAGCAAATTATATATATATAATAATTAAATATTAATATCAATTCTTTTTGTGTATATATATATCTATAAAACAACACAATTTTTATTATCAAATAGAAAAAGAATTGATATTAATATTTAATTATTCTACTTGATTGTTTTGATTAATTTTATTATTTTGTTGAGTCATTCCTTGGTGAATACAAGTGCTGGTACCTATTGCTCATTCGTGAAGAAATCGATTATATTGATTTATCGAATTTAAAAAAGACTAAGATGCGTTTGCTCTGCGTAATCGATTTTCAAAGCAACGCAGACTTGTACTGACTCGCTTCTGAACCGTCCATCATGTATATTATTTCTCAAACATATTTAATCAACAAAGACATCGCAAAAAGCGCTAGTGAATAAAATATAATCATGTTCAACAAACAAGGTACCTAAACAATTTCATTTAACAATTACGATAGCAAATATCTTTCAGTTTGCATAGTAACATTTTCAAAAATATAGTCTTCTATTGTTTTCCTTTACTTTCGAAATTGTTACTGAAATTAAGAAATACACTGAAATTAATTGTAGAAGTCATGAGCAAGTTAATACTTTGTATTTCAGTGTCACACTTAATTATATTACCAAAATTATAATGAAAATATTTGTCACCAAAATTATAATAAAATGTTTATCTTGTATCACTTATGTCATTAATAATTTATGAATATTTGAACATGTTCCAATGGCGTTTAATAATATTTAGTCCTTTGT